TTTTGCATTGTATAAATAATTTCTCATTTAATTTGTTTTGTATTGTTGATATTATATTAGTTACACCATTCATATGGCAAATTTTTATTTCATACAGTTATACAATTGGATATACAATAAAGAGTTCTATNTTTTATATTAAATAGTGAATTTAAATTTATTTTAAAAATACATACATTTTATAAATAAAAATAAAATAAACAATCTTTCAAGGTTTACAGAAATATCTGCTTCATCCTTATATATTTCAGGCTTTCTTTTGCACTCGATGCATCATTCAAAAATAGTATTTAAAATTGTTTTAATTAAATTTTCCTTTAATAATAAACGTGTTTAACTTATACTTTCCTTTATAAGTTTCTAAACGGTAAAGCGATTTTAACAAACGTAATTCATAAAGTAAAATATATAAAACACAAAATAAGACAAATTTTCTGTAAATTACAAGATTCTACTATCTAATGCCGTGAATAAAACAATGGAAATTTTGTTAACGATCCAATTGGGAAAGATTTTGTAAATATTACTTTGCAGCTCGTGCCACCAATGGCCTGTAGTCAGCATCGATGTGGCTATCGTTTTTACAGCTGACGAAGCATATTCGTCGGCATCGGGCAATGATATGCTTCTCTTATGTAAAAATTTGCTATAATGAACTAATTTAGTGGCGATGAAAGAAAGAATGAGGCATTGAATAGTGACATCATTGTCACGACATTCATAATTGAGAGACAAAGAAAGATTAGTAACAAACGATTTAGAAGCGGAATAGACAGACATCAAAGGCAGAGGACTTAACCGTTGAACACTTGCGCACTTTAGATTTCCATTCTTTCCTTATTATTTCAGTACTTTTAAAAAATAAAATAAAGCAAATATTTCTCTATTTGTCGAGTTTTTTGTGTGTTGAATGAATATGTTAAAAATTGCGTAATAAGGAAAGATACAGAAATTCGAAGTTTTTAAAGGTAAAGAAGAAAGAGAGAATAATTTTGTGACTAATTCCTATACTTCTATATCAAATTTAATCCGAATTTAGCCCTCAATTTCCATAAAAATGTAATTATAATAATTTTTAAAAAATATTTAATTATTTAATTTATACAGTAGAGCAGTGTTTTTCAACCTTCTTGAATACGCGACCCCTTTACAAGTTAAAAAATTTTGGCGACCCCCCAGGGCCATATTAAAACTATATCAGTGATTTTAAAAACTACGTATTTAATTCTCTTTCTGTTGAAACCTAAATATCAATCGAGAATCTAATTGTACTGTAAAATAAACAGGCCCAGCCTTCTCAACGAGATTGTAAGTTTTTTGTTGTAGTGTTGTAGACCTACAAACACTTGTCTTTTTTTTTTTACCCGCGACCCCCCATGTAAAACTTTGCGACTCCTTTGCGGGTCGCGACCCACAGGTTGAAAAACATTGCAGTAGAGCATCTATTATCCGACTCAATTGGGGAACTCAGGTTGGTCGGATAACCGAAAAGAATGAAAAAAATGCATTATTAGTATAGTATATTAGTATATCGCTATTAACCAACTTAGCGTTGAATTTTCATCGATGTTAAGCCTAACAAAATTTTTTTTAAGAATAATAATCGTCGCTATTGTATCGTTAAAAATTATTTTATTGCTCACAAAATAAACAACCACTCATAATTAGAAAATTAAGTCTCGTTTAAATACTGGCCTCCCTTCAATGGTCGACCCAGTATTGCCAGCTAATACACGCAAAAATTTAACAAAAATAATATTAAAGTAGCCAAGACAGCCAAATATTGTAGTGCCATATCACTAGCGGACATTTTAAATTTGACGACTAGAACGGTCGGTTAACCGATGTGACTGTTAATCGGGGGTCGGATAATCGATGCTCTACTGTAATTGAATCTTTTTGTAATAGTTAATTTATGTTCAGCCTTAATGCTTTAACTAGATATCGGTATTTCTTTCTTTCTTTTTTTGTTTAAATGTCTTTAATTACTTCAGTTTTGTAAATAAATTATGTCTGACCTGAAGTTCGATCCCGCTTGAGATATGACATGTGACCTTTCTCTACCTCCCCAATCCTTCGACCTTTAACCAACAAATTTATTAGCATCGATCCCCTAATATCCAAACCTTTCTGCAAAATTTATAAATTTTCGACAAAATGCACAGGAGTTATTAAGCTTTAAAGTGGGTGAGAAAATCGTCACCCCTACACCCGCACGCACTAGCATCCATACATACAGAAAAAAAACTCATGAATTTTTTTGCATTTCTCGACGTTTGAAGGTCCCAAGTCTCAAAAATGTAAAAATCTTGGAGCGGTCATCTTTTGACCGATCGCCATACTTTCCCTATATTAGGCCTATATATAACAGCCAGGAAAGTAAAAAATAAATTGGATTAGATAGATGAATTAAGACCGATCAGCCAAGGAAGTGCCTTGCGAAAGGATTTTCTATGGAAAAAAAACGATCTCTATTTAGATGATAGACTAGTGAAGAAACAGAAAACTCCACGTGACCAGCCTACTGGAAAGATACGAACCCGCGACCAGTGTTTTTGTCCACCCATTGGTTTTATTTATTCGGCTACTGACGGGCTATTCTTAGAGAAACTTCGTAACATATGACTGAAAACTATTTACAGTCAAAATAAAAATTCCTAATTATTCAAACTAACTATTTAATTTTTTTTTTAAATTTCAGTTCTACTGAGTATATTTTCTGCGCTCTAATGTCTTGATGTCGCCCCCTGTCGTCTCCAATTTCGTAAAATTGCTTTTGAGAATGGGATTGAAATAAATAACTATTCAATTAATGATTAAAATAATTAATTAATTTCGTCTATTAATAAAGTTTTTATTCTATGGATTTTAATTAAATTAATTATTGAACGAAAAACTTAATTTCTAAAGAATTTATTATCAAGAATTTGCAATCAGAATTCAATTTTAATCTTCTCATTGGGCTGCAATTTGAAAAACATTGTAGACCTATAAATTCCTACTGTAGTCCGTCTGATCGCCCATCCGTCTTTCCTTACTATGGAGAACAGAGTTAGATAGAAGAAAGTAATTCGAGATCAGGTGTGGAAACTTTAGGGGCAGCAGACTCCGATTAATTGTCAGAACTTCTAATGAATTTGGAAGTCACGTTATTTCAATTTAAATATTTTCTCCTAAAAGGTGTTGTTAGATAGATGATTGGTCTCTCTATTATTAACAGGAAAAGAATGATGTACAGGGGCAAGCCACTACTAATTTGAGGTGGAGAGCATATATCTTAAATTAAATTAAAAATATGATTAAAAATTGCAATACGGCAACAATTGCTCGTCCTTTATTAAGTTTCCTCAGAAAGAAATTGAATAAAATATTTTTACTCTTTTTCAATTTAATTCTAGTAAAATCGATTTAAAATACTAATTTTTTTAAATAAATTTTTCACAGCTCAATATATATCGTATTTCTCCATTAATTGAAAAACATGAAGAATAGGAGCATGAAAAGAGGAGAAACGTTTGAATGAAAATGTTTAATTATGCGCAAAACTTAAATATTGGAATGGTTTATTAAATACCCGTTAAACTAACAGAATAAGGTTTAAAACTTTATAAGGTGTTGTTTCTTTTAACTGTTTAAATCTGAATAACCAGCAGTGGCGTAGCGTGGGTGACAGCCGCCCGGGGCAAAGGAAAATTTCGCCGTTCCCTTATTTAGGTATCTCGATTTAAAAGACTAAAATTCAGTTTCATCACAGAATAAGTAATGAAAAATTCCGTGCTAGTGTTGTCACCTTTTTAAAATCACTGACCCGGACGGCAGGTGAGGTTCGTTCGAACAGAAGTTCCTGACCCATGCGTAATGTCATTTTGCAATGCGAAGAATAATGTGCAGTGCATGCCGGTTCGAAACCAGGTACAGTTAGGGACTAGGGAGACTTGGGTAGAAGTAACGTAAGTAACCTAGATGACATAGCTCTATTGGATATTGAAGATGTGTATGAATACGAATCGTACAAGCAAAAAAAAAAAAAAAAAAAAAAAAAAAAAAAAAAAAAAAAAAAAAAAAAAAAAAAAAAAAAAAAAAAAAAAAAAAAAAAAAAAAAAAAAAAAAAAAAAAAAAAAAAAAAAAAAAAAAAAAAAAAAAAAAAAAAAAAAAAAAAAAAAAAAAAAAAAAAAAAAAAAAAAAAAAAAAAAAAAAAAAAAAAAAAAAAAAAAAAAAAAAAAAAAAAAAAAAAAAAAAAAAAAAAAAAAAAAAAAAAAAAAAAAAAAAAAAAAAAAAAAAAAAAAAAAAAAAAAAAAAAAAAAAAAAAAAAAAAAAAAAAAAAAAAAAAAAAAAAAAAAAAAAAAAAAAAAAAAAAAAAAAAAAAAAAAAAAAAAAAAAAAAAAAAAAAAAAAAAAAAAAAAAAAAAAAAAANATTGTGAAATTTTGCCGCCCCCTAAAAAGTGCCGCCCGGGGCGGGCCGCTCCTGCCGCCCCCACTACACTACGCTTCTGTGACAGAATACAACTTTTATACTATTTTGTTAATGACAACGTGTTTCTTCATCCACTTAATTCATAAATATTAACTGATTGTTATTTTAAGACCATACAAAAGCATTTGTTTAATTAATGTTCTTATGAAACCTCTACTCGAACCTCTAATAAAGGCTACCTGTAAAAGGCGGCCATTTTTTTTCAGGAACGTTGAGTAAAAAATACATAAAAATAACTCCAAACACTATTAACAAGGACAACTTTTATGTTCCGGCCAGTGATCGTTGTTCAGAGGTTTGACTGTATTTTAAGATATTATGTAATAAATTGATTTTCTGAACGCTTAAAAATGAAGAATTAAATAAATATACAGATTTAATTTTTTAATGACTGCTTTTAATGGCGATTTTAATGTAAAATAAATTTTTTCCAATATTAAATATTGGAATTTTTAATGTAATAATGAATGAAATCAGTCTAATTTTTCATGAATTTTTCTAAAATGAGAAGAAATATTAATGAATAAATTAATATTAAATCATAGAATTTATTTTCAATAAATTTACACATTTCGTTTTGAAAATCACCTAATTATTTTGGATCCAAATGATTTACAGTCACTACAAAAGGACTATGACGAATGCCAAAGGTGAATCGAGGAGCAGTTTTCTTGTGAATCCATACCTGTAAAATAATGTTAATAACGTTAAATAGTTTTCAGGTAATCGAAAATTTTATATAATTATAATAACTAACTAACCTTATTGACAGAATAATCTGCAGGACCCGGTTTTGGTCCCCAGTCTTGAAGAATACTCGAACGATCACCCATAGTATACGCAGGAGATTTTTTCAAATAAATATCTGGATTTACAGTAGCATAATCTGATGGTCCTGGTATCTGAAAATTCAAAATTTTAATTAATTTTGTTGAAAACATTGTTGGGAGTATATAATAAAGAGATCTTTCGTAATACGAATTAACATATTTGAAAGACAAATGATTAATATTTGATGATAAAATTATTTTTAAATAAGAATTTTACGTACTTTAGCAATAGAAAATGCGTGTCCTTTAATTCCAAATGTAAATTTAGGTGCATTTCCGTGAGAACTTAATGGCCAAAATTCTGGAACTCTTGGAACTAAATAATCAGCTGGACCTGAAAAATAAAGAATTTAATTATTATAATAAATTTATAAATTACATTTAAAATTCAATTATAAACATAATTCATAGATGCAACTACCATGGATAATTAGTTATTAATTAGATATGAATTAAAATTATTATAATAAATCTTTATTATTATCCTTTTATGTCTTGTAAATAGAAGGAATTTATAGTTTCTTTGAATCTCATTTTTAATCTAATTGCTAAATTGAATTTTAAAATAATTCTTGATTCGTTTTTATCCCTTATGTAATTTCTAGCATTATTTTTAAGTCCTCAGATTTACATAAAATTATTTATAAGAATGATTACTCGTAAAAAATGGGGTCATTTAACTATTTTAAAAACATTACTTATCTCATCTCTTTAATATATAAACATCCTGAGGTATAATTTTAATAAAAATTATAATTCATGACACAAAAAATATTTATCTCAAAGAATTTCATAAAATTACCCGTCCTATAGTTGGGGATTGGAAAAATATTAATTTCTTAAAACTATTTTATTAATATATTTTTATATACTGTACGTATTGAAAAAGTTAGAACTCGATTTATTCTATTAAAAGTTATAAAACAAATACAATTATTTTATTTTTACTCATACATATTTTTATTTCTACGAGTAAAAAAATTTTGTGATTATGAAGATTTTCTTCGTGCCACTCACTTAATATCTAACGAATAAATAGTCTGATTTTCCTGAAAATTTCTGAAAACATTTCCCCTTAATACACAAACCTCCCTACAAAATGTTCGAACGAAAGCACAGGAGTTGTATACACGCATAACAATGCATACAATCATACCCTCCCCCATACACGCACGAATACAAAGACACACAAATATACATACAGAAAAATCCCAACTTTTTGCATTTCTTGGCCCCGAGTCCAAAAATTTTTAAATCTTGGGGGGAGATCATTTTTAAACCGATCGTTTCTTTTCATGACAACGTACTGGCATTTGTAATTGTAATAAAAATTGTTATTTTTAATATATGTTAAGTTAAACACTTTTTAGTGAATGTTTCCTTTATATATTAAAAGAAGTCAGAATGTGTATGAAGTAATAGAATGTTCAATATAAAAAACTGGCGAGATGATAAAGGCATAAGTTAGAAACTAGACCCTTCAGTACTTAGTTTCGAGTCTAACTAATCTCAAATTTATGAGTGGATTGACTTGAATATGTCAGAAACACTCCTTCATTACTCAGTTACCTGCTATTGTGGATTAGAACGAATCTACAATGGCATGAAAAAAGACACTTTTATGCCCATTATAAAGTGTTATAAACAATAAAACTCGTACAAGTAACATTACTTTGACTCGTGAGTTATTTTATTTTGTATAAAAATTGAATTAGGAATAAAAGCTTTAAATACCTGGTGTTCTATCTTGACTGAAACCTTTCGTCTTCATTCCCATTGTATATTTAGGTGCTGATCTCCATACAGATTCAGTATACTTTTCTGGTCTATAATCTGATGGACCAGGGGTTACATACTTTTTAGATGCCGCTGGCCAACCAGAAATTGTATATGCATAATTGGCAGCTGGGCCCCATCTAGTCATATTTCTTAAATCATAAGCTGCTGGTCCGGGTGAGATAAATTCTGTCTTATATTTGTGTCTAAGAGAATGTAAAAGATTATTTTAAAATATGCAATTTAAAAAATATTGTTTTGTAAAATTTATATTATAAATATATATTATTTTATTTATATAATTATCTAATGTTTTTAGAAATAACGTAACTTCCAGTTTGCATCGGATGTTCGTATACAGTTAGTAATATCATAAATAGCTAATAATAAAAATCTTATATATAGAATTATATACATATATTTGCATGTATTACATATATGAAAAAATTTACCTGTTCGCCATAGTATAAGCAGGATTTCTTCTTCTTGTAAAATCATGACCAACGATACCTTAATTAAGAACAATTATATAAATAACTTAATATATAGATAGATATTAATATAAGAAGTAAATTATAATATATTATAGATGTAAAAAAAGATTCGTAGATTGGATGCTTTCCAGATATTGTTATCATTTTTTGTGATTTTTTAAAAATGTTTGTTCCTTAATTTTATGGGGTTAATTTAATATATTATTATTTAATATGTAATAAATTGATTTAACGAAATAGCAGAGGCCCAGTGGCCAAGTGGTACGGCGTTGGTCTCGTAAACCAAAGATCCAGGGTTCGAACCCCTGCTGGGCCTTTCCTCATTTTACTTTCTTACTGTCTGCAGTATGAAAGTATTTAAAAGCAGTTTGATTAAATGTACTTAATATAATAACTTTTTGCTTGATGAAAATGAGTATATTTAAAAAAAGTACTATGATTTATTCCATGTCTACCGAAGAAAAATTAAAAACAAATAATTCAAAGACTTGTAACTTTATTGGGCTGCAATATTCAACAATTGTAAACCTATAAATTCCCACTGGCGTCCATCTTGTCTGTCTGTCCTTTCTTAATCTCGAGAACAGAATTAGATAAATGAAAGTCGAGACCAGATAAGGAAATCTTAGGAGGCTCGATTAACGTGACTTCCGGTCTAAACCGAAAATCATGTTATTTCGATTCAAAAATTTTCTCCTGAACGGAGTTAGATAGATGACCGGCATGAACAGGAAAAGTATGATGTACAGGGGCAAAACACTACTAAAATTGAGAGCATTGTGACAAAAAATTGCATTACAGCATTGTGACGATGTCACAATAAATAATTGCTCGTTTTATTTCTTTACTTCATTTATGTTTTCATGTCTTTTATAGTAATGTTACAGTAGAATCGTGAAAAATCTGTAGCAACATAATGATACCTTGTAAATTGATATAATTTACATAAATTTTCTCACTTCAATAGATAACAAAATAGAAAAATTACTTGTGGCTAAAATTATATTTAAAAGTTTTGGTCAGTGAACTTACCGAGCGTAGGTGGCAACATATACTTTCCTGGACCAGGACTGTTAAATTCGGCCATAATTGGGGCTCTTCTCATTGTACTCTTTATTTCTGTTTGTTGTATATAATATCCCATTGGAGCGGGTTCACTATATTTTCGGATATTCTAAAACAAATATATTCATATAATTAAAATATTTTAAAATATAAATGAATAAATCATCTGCAATAAACAGTGTACTGTACAGTACATGGGGAACACTAATTCAAATTCGCCTGAACCTCCTGAAGTTTTAATGTACTATTGATTGTTGTTCTACTTCAGTGAAATTATACAGTTGAACTTAACCCTCCCATAATGAGTAAAAATGACAGCTTATATACTCAGTTTCTTTAATGTGCTGGTGTTTTGCATTGTATAAATAATTTCTCATTTAATTTGTTTTGTATTGTTGATATTATATTAGTTACACCATTCATATGGCAAATTTTTATTTCATACAGTTATACAATTGGATATACAATAAAGAGTTCTATACCGATTTGTTTCTAGTATTTTATTCTATTATTCTAATTTTTATAAATTCCTCCAATGATAATGACTATAAACAATTAATTTTCAATAGAATTCGATTGAAATTTTTAATATTTCATATAGTGTTTTATCCACGGCATTTTATTTGTATTTTGTTATCTATATTTTTATAAATAAATCTCCATTAATATGCATTGTATGAATAAGCACGAATTAATTTATTTCTTTTCATTTGCATATTTATACAGTCGATCCCCTATAACACTGTTGATAATTCCGTTTTATATGAATTTCATGTTGTACGAGTCACTTAGATTTTACAAATACGTGAGCCGTTCACAGCCCGGCACACGTATTTGTAAAATCTAAGTGACTCGTACAACATGGAATTCATATAAACTCTTAAACTTATTACTTTCCTATTTATTCCTACTTGTTTCAATGTCATTCTGAAGAGATACACTATTAACTCAAACAGGAAAATTTTAATAACTACAGTAAATTTTATTTAAATTTTTTAATAAGTTATTATAAAGCGTAATTTTGAGAGTAGAAATGAATTTTATAAAAAAATTGTAAATGACGAGTAAAATCTTCATTAAGTCCGACCCCACTCGAGATACGACATATGACCCTTTCTATCTCTTCATTCCCTTGACCTTTAAACACCAAAATTTAATAGCATTAATGCCCCTAATAGGCAAACTTAATTGTAAAATTTTAGATATTTTCGACAAGAGGCTCAGAAGTTACTAAGCTTCAAACTGGGTGAACAAAATCGTGCCACCCACCCGTACGCACACACACACATACATACACACTAACACCGTGCATACATAAAAGAAGCCCGAAATTTTTTTGCACATCTCGACGTTTCAAGGTCTCCAGAGTCGAAAAATGTAAAATTTTTTGGGAGTTCAGTTTTTGACCGATCGCCAGCCATACTTTCCCTCTGTTATATATAACAATTAAGAAAGTAAAATGAAATATTAAATTTTAGAATTTTGTTTTGCATACAAAAATAGGCTCAATATTTTTAATGAAAAAAGTAAAAGAAATTCGTTTTAAACTTTACTTTTATCAATTATTTGTTGTAATTTTATGTAGAATGGAAAATATTTCATTTTATTTTAAGCTTTTGATAAGAAGCTTTCAGATTTATAAAAATTAATGAATAACATTGTCTTATATTACAGAAACATTCTAATACATTGTAATTTATTATTAGAATCTGTATTAGAAATCATCCATAAATTACTAAAAACTATTTTTATACTTTTCAACAACTAACCTATCTTCTGTAATTCTCGGTAAAGCAATCATACGTGATTTTCCCAAAATTAGATGATGCATATTTTATATAAACCCCCTTAACTGTACTAAGGAATAATACATATCATCTATTAGACTTACACCGTCGGCCATATTGATGTTGAAATAATTTTCTTCTTTTGTAGAATTATCCCGAAGTGAACCCGAATTTACTTTATGGCAAACAATAAAATGTTATAATTATTATGTGTTTATATTGTTATTTAGCGAAACAATGCAATACGTTACTAATACAAATTGAGATTTATTGAGAGGAAAAACAAAGCGACATACTCATTAAAAAAAACAAATGTACATAATTTATGTAGAAATAAAATGAGTATAAGTTACATGCATTTTAAAATATAGAATATTTCATTGCATAAATACAAGTTTACTTATGCTATACACCAGACTCTTGCTAATCCGGAGTTATCCGGCATACCCCAACAAAAATATCTTTCTCTTATTTGTGTTTATTATTTTTTTTAAATGTATATAGTAATAAAAACTTGCAATTACTTTATCCCTGTGCATAATTTAACAATAAGCTTAAAAAAGAATCAGTACGAAAGGGCGACAGGCCATGCCGTTCATTTACTTTACTCCTATAAACTCAGTAATCTGGCATTCCTCTGTGCAAAGAATGGCCGGATTAGCAACATGCTACTGTAATTTCAAAAGTTTTTATAGGTTTTGGTATAAAATAATTAATATTTGGTTATAATAAACTAAGGAATTATAGTGTTATGAATTAATCCGAATTTCGGCGGTGAAAACGGCATATAGTCGAACGGCCACTGACAGGAACATAAAAAAAATGGCCGTTCTTCGGAGGTGACCATTATAAGAAATTGGACTTTAATTTAATATGATTTTAACAAAAATTTAGTAGTTCTTTTATATTTTAAAATCAATTAATAATATGTGAGTAAATTAAATTTGATTTATATATTATTTAAACACTGTAACACTTATTTTATATTTGTAAAATATATATTTTAATTTTTCGAATTAAATTATAAGTAATACATAAAATAAAATAATAATAAAAAAATTATAAAAACATTTTTATAAGTTTATTTATAAATATGTATAATATTCAAATAATATCCCAAAAACAATTAAGACAATAAATGATGGAGTAGCATGAATGTGAGTACCTGTAAAGATAAATATTTTTATAAATTAATTAAATTTTTCATTTAGAATAAAAAATTAAATTTCTAAAATTAATTTTAACAATTAATTTAGTAGATAAAAACATATTGTAACAAATGAGGAAAATATATAAAGCGCAAAATGTTGAAGGAATTTAGTGTTAAATAAATGTATAGATATCTCACTAGAGATAAAAGTTAATACACATTTTATTCAAGTTTTTTCCACTTTGTTATATTGAGTTTATATTTAAATTTGTTCGGTTTTAGTAAAGGAAATAAACACTTCATTGTAAGGTTGGTTCGAATCCAAACGTTTTTGGAATCCGAAAACAAATCCCAAAAAGCCTACGAATCTCTCGAATCTTTAATACACGTGTGTTATTTGTAGCTTTGAGACGTATAATATTAACTGCAAGAGATATTAAAAGTTTAGCAGCATAGAATGTCAGTTAGCAAGTCCGTTACAGGTGCCAATATGAAATGCGACGATCGTTCTTCTACTTTGAACTTTATATCGTCCATAAGAAAACAATACAAAACACGATCTGAGATCGTCACATGATAACAAGAAACATTTTAAATAAAAGCCTCTTTTAATAAAATATTCCAGATTTATTTATAAAGAAAAATCGTAAATCTTCAGTAAACAATTCATAATTGTAAGTACATATCTTTTAAAAAAAAATCTAGCAACGAGTTGCGTAAGTTTCCCGGCTGTTTTCAGATTTTATTACAGAAACATAGATGTTAGGTGTTATAAACGTGATAAAAACCCTGAAAACTTTACGTGGCAGTCCGTTGGCGAGGATTGAACCCACGACCAACTATCCCATAATAAAAGATAAATTCATGCATTGAAACAAAACTATGGATATTTCACTCAAAATTAACCTATATTATAATCTTTTAAAATAAATGTAAAACAATGTTTTGTGTACATGTGAATGTCTTAAATCCAAAAATAACGTCTACATTTTAATATATTGAAAATTTTAATAAATAACAATATAAATACATTTACCTCTATCGTTGGATGGATCTTTGCAATGTTTACTCATACAGGACGCTGCTAAACGAACACCTAAAAATAGTCATATTTTTTTATAAAATATATTCAATAAATTAGATTTTTGTATAATTTTAAATAAGCAAAATTAAATGATTTTTGAATTTCATAATTAATTTCAACAATAAAATTTTAATTTTCATTAATTTTTATTAAATAAATTTAAGAAGAAAATAATCTGGAAGGAATAAAAAATGCTTCACCATGACATTTTCCCGAGCAATCTTCTTTCGATTCAAAATTATTTTCATTTCCTTCACATCCTCCATATTTGAATTCCTCGCAAGTCCGATTAACAGAATCGTAATAAAAGCGAGTTACAAATATTTTACAAGGACCAACAGCAACGGGAAGCTGGCAAATTGCTATAAAATTGAAAAATTAATTCGTTATCATATATATATATATTTTTTTTTCTTATTGAAAATATTCTAATAATTAGAGAATTATAAGACAGTTTACTTATAACTTTAGTGTAGACCTTCATTTCTAAATTTCCAATTTGATCCAGACTATCATAATTTATAATGTTGGGGGCATAGTTCTTCATGTTGGCTGTGCTCAACATGAGTGAGGGATGCAGAATTATGTCCCTATAATAATTAATTGCGGGTCAGGCCCACTGTATAGTATACAATGTGCTAGTGCTTCCCATCAATCAATCAATCAGAGGCGAGAAAGACGTTAGTCTGTCGCTCCGGATCAGGAATCATGATGATTTCTGATCGTCATGATTGTTCCATTCATAAAAATTCTTAATTTCCTTAATTTTAATACTACGAATAGATTATTGCTTTATTCTTAGTTAGTTAATTAAATTATTAATGATTATTTCAAACCATTAATTAAGTTGTAATATAATTATAATTTAGTACTGGGTATTTATAAATTTAATTATTTCTACTGTATTAAAATAATAAATAAAAAATAACATTATACAAATNATCTCCTAAAATGGAAAATTCCTAGAATCAACTCTTTGGGAGTTGGCAAGCTTAATAGCAACAGTACTTCCTAATATAATACTTACTTTGAAATGCAATGACATTATCATTTGAATTAAAGACATATAAGTCTTGATGCATATCTGTTATCTTTTTCTCTTCAAAGTTTGTTTAATACTTAACATTAAAACATAGCTATATGTTAATGACTAAAGGTTGGATTTGTATGCATGTCTTTTGTCTTAAATGCTATAATGTTGATCTCAATATAAACATTGAGTCCAAATAGATCAAATTAAGGTTGTCTGATAATGTATATTTTACAGATTTGACCATTTTCTAGACTAAATAAATGTTGTATGAACTTTATAGCTTGTTTCATGATTGCAATTATTTTTTCAAATTATCTCTAGGATGTTTCTGCTATATATGCAACAATATGTGAGAAATATTATCTCACCATCCAATTACAAATGAGCACACAAAAGTGAAATATTTTAAATTTGAATAATCTAACTTGCATTCTTTTAAAATCTCACAAACATACAGATTTGACATTGCAAATCTCTCATTTTTCAAACTCAAAATCCTTTGAAATAATTGGATTAAAATGATTGTAAATATTATATTTATTAATTTAATAAAGTTTTAGATTTAAGTCTTTCAAAAAATTGTATAAATATATTATTTAATTAAATATAATTATTATGTAAACAAATTATTAAGAAAAATAATCATTTTAAATATGTTTTTTTAACATGAAAGAAAGAATATGTATCATGTCCTCAAATCTTGCAATTCAAATGTCATCCTCTTCTAATTAAGGTAAAAGGTTTAAACTTTGTGAATTATACCCAAGTCAGATGACAATGCATTTTAATGACGTTCTCAAGATAGCCCCACCCCATCATCCTCCCCACTCAAAACTTTATAAACAACAAAATGTAGAATGTAATCATGACGTGCGTGTGTAAATGCACTAAAGTGATGTAATGGTGGAGATCGGGCACCCGTATCATATACTTTAAATCCCTACAGTATATGACCCGTCATCCCCATCCCAATCCCTTTACCATCCTCAATCTAAACTTCATAAAAGCGCGGGGCGCTCATGTTTAGAAATAATCTTAGTTACACTTTCTATCAATTTTTATAGGTTTCACACGAGCTCCCCACGCCTTCATTTTTGACCGCATAATACCAAGAATAGTGTGAAAACTGAAAATTAATATATATATATTTGCTCGTCAGCTCCCGAGGAGTCGATACAAGCCCTCCTTGAAAAGCCGTGAAGAGTTGCATTATGTCATGCTACAGTAAATAGTGGAACTTGTTTGATACGCAGTTTATAAGCGGCATGCTTGATACTGGTATGAAGATAATTCAACTCCGATTCAGAATTACATTACAAATAAAATAATAAACTTCTCTGAAAAATATCAGGAATTTTTGACAAAACACACAAAAGTTATTATGCTTCAAGGAGGGTTAATTAACAAAGTCGTGCCTCTTCCCATCACAAGGAATACATACATACAGAAAAAAGCCACAAAATCTTTGCATTTCTTGACGGTTTAAGATCCTTAAGTCTAAATACAAAAATCTTGGTGGTCATTTTTTGACCGATCGCTTTACTTTACCTATGTTATATATAGCAGAGCTGAAAAATAAAAACGAGTAAATAAATTATAAGACAACGAGCGATTATTTGTTTTAATGCGCATAATCATATCCACACTGAAAGACAAAAAAGCAAATTTGGCACGGTAGCTTGTACATAAGGGACATTAATGCTATTAGATTTTTCTGGTTATAGTTCGAAAAAGGTGCGGAGATAGAAGGGGTGTCGTGTGTCATATCTCAACAAGGATGGGACCTAATTAAGATTTTACTCATTATTAACATTTACAATTTTTTTTTCTTTAGAAAAATCATCTTTAACCTGAAAAGTAAACGTTTGTCATTTCATAATAATTAATGTAAAAAATTTTATGATGAAAATACATAACATGACGCCACATACAATTTATTTATTAATATTATGATGAATAATATAAAAGTTATTTTTTAAATAAAATCTCATAACAGCTGAAAAAGTTACGCAACTCGTTGGCATTCTTCATATATCAGCGCATGTGGAAAGTCATTTTTATTGGGCTACTATTAAAAAAACGACAATTTATTATCAACAAATTTTATTTTTATAAGATTTTCAATACTCTAAACTAAATTTCTATATAGTTTCTATCTTTATATGATAAGTGGGCATCAGTTTTTGTATCTCTCTCGTAGAATGAATTAATTAATATTAACTACGAATGTCGAATATTTGAAACTATTTTACAGTTTCTCTCTCTATGACAGTCTGTTTACGGCAAAGACACTTTATTATACCCATTTTTGGGAAAAAATGTTTTTAGATTTTGGTCATTTTTCCAAAAAGAGATAAAAGGTTATGCAAGAACGCGAGCAAAACATATTTCAAATAAGAATGTTATTTGTAAAGTTTTTATATTATAAGCAATAAGTAAATTCGCAAGGAATAAAGTAATTGTTAATTTTGTACAATATAGTGCTTAAAATGTAATAAATATGTTGTCCCGTTAAAAAATAAGGAACTAGCATAACAAAAAGAAATGTCATTGCTTATAATTTAAGTACAATGTTGTATAGGTAAATTATATGGCCAGAAACAGCATAAGTTATTTAAATATTTTATAATTATTTAGTTTTTAAAGCTGTTAACTTTGTTTAATTTTTCTGAGTTGTTATTTTACATACATAAAGTTATATAGTTTTGTTATAAAAGCCTGTTCTCCTTAAAAACAAACGCAGTAACTTTTTTACACACAAGCTGACCTATACTTAAACNAAACATGCACCCATTTGTAACTATCACCATTTTCAACTCCGGTATTTATATTTATTCTATAACCACAAAGCTTTTCTTTCATATGTAACGCGCCATAATTACGTGTACACTCTTTCTTTTTGCATACCGCACATGTATCCACCTATTTATATTACTGCGTTGTTCGCGCTGACGATTTCTCTCATCTTCACCATCCTTCCTATCACACTTCTACCCCCTTATCCATTACTCCTTCTCCCTTTTTCTTTTCACCCAGGCGATACCCCTGAGTAGTCCTGGTCTTCCGCCCCTTTCATTAAAAAAATAAAAAAAATACTCTAAACTAAATTTCTACATAGTTTCTATCTTTATATGATAAGCGGGGCATCAGTTTTTGTATCTCTTTCTCGTAGAATGAATTAATTAATATTAACTACGAATGTCGAATATTTGAAACTATTTTACAGTTTCTCTCTCTATGACAGTCTGTTTACGGCAAAGACACTTTATTATACCCATTTTTGGGAAAAAATGTTTTTAGATTTTGGTCATTTTTCCAAAAAGAGATAAAAGGTTATGCAAGAACGCGAGCAAAACATATTTCAAATAAGAATGTTATTTGTAAAGTTTTTATATTATAAGCAATAAGTAAATTCGCAAGGAATAAAATAATTGTTAATTTTGTACAATATAGTGCTTAAAATGTAATAAATATGTTGTCCCGTTAAAAAATAAGGAACTAGCATAACAAAAAGAAATGTCATTGCTTATAATTTAAGTACAATGTTGTATAATCTGATAGGTAAATCATATGGCCAGAAACAGCATAAGTTATTTAAATATTTTATAATTATTTAGTTTTTAAAGCTGTTAACTTTGTTTAATTTTTCTGAGTTGTTATTTTACATACATAAAGTTATATAGTTTTGTTATAAAAGCCTGTTCTCCTTAAAAACAAACGCAGTAACTTTTTTACACACAAGCTGACCTATACTTAAACAAAAGATCTGAATTGTCTAAATAGGAATCTTTCCTTGACAAATGTGCAGGAAGCAGCTTTAAACACGTTAAAAATTTCTTCTCATTTTTAATAGGTATGGCATTTTAAAACAACCCGTTTTTTTTTCGTTTTACGTAGGGAATAAGGGGGCGTCAAATGCATGTCTTGCCCGGGCGGCATAAACCTTAACGCCGGTCCTGTGCCCTACTGCTCCTTTAGCGTCATCATCATTGAGGAAGAGCTGCCAGCAAAGAAGTTCTTCAGATGTACAGTACAAACAGATAAAAATCAATTGACGATTATTCTGGGATGCAGGAAGATGTTCCACTTGTTTCTAACTAAATGACGTGGCGAAGGCTTCAGCTTGAGCAAAAATGTGTGACTGAGCATTCTTTTACACATTTCCTTACCATTCCATTATTCATGGCAATTCGACCTCATAAATCTGATAATGAAGTTGGTGTGTTTCGCATTTCTTGTTTCAAAGTAAATCGTGTTTCAAAGTAACCAATCATCTTGGACATGTTAAGGAACAAAAATATACATAAATCAATTCTAATACTTTTGTAATGGCATCTATGACTTTCCGATAAATAAGAAATCAGCGTGAATGCAGTAAAATCACATGCAGTAGATATATTTGTGAACGGTACAGTACTTGCTTTCTGAATAAGCTGATATTTCGAATCGCTTTAAGCACAATCTTTAATTAATATAGGCCTCGTTCTACTCTTATATTATACAAAATCATAATAATATCAGAAAATTACCTTCGCATTTTCTCTGACATTCAGAAAGAGTGTAGAAATTGTTTTTATTTCCCATGCATCCAGTAAATGTAAATTCTTGACACGATTTTGTCGTCGTATCATAATAATATCGTTTAATATTTTCAGAACAATGTCCGGGATCTACAGGTTCTTCGCATACATCTAATTTTAAAAATAAATTTTCAAGATTTAGGCAATTATTTTAATAAAATAGATTTTGTAACATAATTTTAAAACAATTTGATATTACCGAGACATCTTTTTTTGCAATTCTCTTCACTTATAAAATTATTTTCATTTCCTTCGCAACCACTGTAAGGAAAACTATTGCATAACATAGTATCGTGATCAAAATAAAAATTTTTTATTGTATTTTTACAAATTCCTTGTTTCTTCGGAAGTTCACAAATATCTGTAAATCAAATCAGTTATTTATTTTCATCAATTATAATTTACAATTTTAAATGATAAACACTCCAATTTATTCTAATATGTGCACTATCACGCTTATAAAAATGAATTAGTTTATTTAGAATAATTTTAAAATTTTAATCATGATATAATATTTAATTGTAAATAAGCTATATAATTTAATTAATTTTATTAAAAACATCACTAAAATTTACGGCATTTTATTTCCTATTAAAATAGAAATATAAGGTTTTATATTTTTGTTTTACTTGTTAATATTGACAACCATAATAAAAGATATTTCTACTGTATTCTTAGTCAATTTATAAATGAAAAGTAATCATTTAAATCCTTTTATATTATATTTTTTGTTTTTTTTAAGGATTTGCTTTCTAACGTATTCGTTTTGCAAGATATTTGTAAAAGGTTATATTGTGAGGACCCAGAATCGAATCGAATTGAGCGACCAAGGAATTTCTGGTCTCTAACCATTCGAAAAACTCATTGTGGATCTGGTCGAATCCGCAATGGGTATTAATAAAAGGCCCTCTTAGTGTCCACAAGATGAAAATAAACAGAAAAGGGGAATGTAAAATTTTGAGTTCTTATTATAGTGTTAAATCATAATTTTACCTCCACAAAAATCGATACATTTTTCTAATGTTTTAAAACGGTTCAAGTTTCCTTCACATCCACTGTAACTAAAGGCTTCACATTTTCCTTTATGACTATTAAAATAATACATGAGTTCATTTCCGTGACACAATCCGCTATCTTTTGGTAAGACGCAAATATCTGAAAAAAATTTATATTAATATATATGTTATAAAAGATTTTAAATACTTAATTGTAATAAATTGGCGATAGACAAAATAAATAAAAAAAAAACAATTTTTTAAAGTTCGATTTTCTTCTTTGTTTATAAATTTTACAAAGTTTAAACTGTTTTATACTGATAAGAGTTTGTGAGCTGCATAAATCAGTAATTTTGAACTGTAGAGTTTTTATGCAATCGTGTCCAAAAGCTAAGCATAATAATTAATTTGGCCTATATCGCAGAAATTACATATCACAGCAGCATGACGTATCATACAATCAGTATACTGTATTCTTTATGCAACAAAACAATTGTAAAGCAAAAATGCTATCTAAATTACGTTAAACGAAAAAAACAAGATAAAATACTAAACATTATCGTAAATTTTTCACACGGAAAATAATGGCATATGGTTTCCTCTTGCATGCAATCGCTCTATTCAACGATTGCTTATATATTCAATACAATGTAATATTGTTTATCACCTCTGTAGGGAGTAAATTCTATTCTTGACAAGTGCATCTTAAAGCTTCTAGAGTATTTATGGTAAAGGTTATTTGGATGTAACTCGCCTCCCTAGAGCATTCCATACATTTTATATGGGATTTAAGTCCATAGATTTTGTGGCCATTCTATGTCACAAATATCTTTATTTTCAAAAAGTCATTAATGAATGCAGCGGTAGGTAGGCAGGCACTATCGTCCACGAAAATGAAATCTGCATCTTCAGCACCTCGGAAAAGCTTCACACGGGTTCCAAAATCTCGTCTCTGTACTTCCTTGCAGTAAAGGCAATTCTTGTAAACCGTACAGCCATTAAGAATAAAGATATCTCAGACAAAGATACTACCATCTGTAAACTGTTCACTTCATTATGTTAGATTGTACTTGAACTCCCGAACATTTCTTAAAACTCAATCATACATTTTCCGGTTATTTTGTAAGTTGTAGTCATAGGCATATATCCTATTACAATTGCTTATTCACTTTTAAAAAGTTACATTATAAGTATACCTTTACAATTAAAACTAGATTAAAATTTTTCATCCTTACGTTGAACATTTAATGATTATGAAATACTCTTACCTTGATTAGCGCAATTACATATAAGTTCATTTGGATGCGTTATAATTCTGCATCTTCCTGGACAATCTCCCGGATTTAATACACGAAATTCATGGATGTTTCTATGTGGAACTTCTAAAATTATAAAAATTTAACCGTGTAATAAAATTATATAGTTATATTAGTATTTATATTTACTGAAATTATAAATAAATGTTTATATCTGAAAATATGCTACATACCAGGTGCTCGAAAAACATCAGGAATACATATGCAGGAAAAACATCCTGGGGAAGTGGACTGTAGAGGACAATCGGGAGTACAATCAGCAGGCGATTGAATACAATTATTGTCTTTCCTCGAAGGACCAGGAGGTTCTGTTTAAAATATATTCGTATAACTAGATATATTTGTAAAATTAATAATAAAATTTAAAATAAACTAACCTATAACTACGCTGTCACAATCACATTTAATACAGCCATCAACTTCACGACAACATGGTGGACAGTTTAAAGCGCATTCTGCTGTTTCCGGACATTGTGTGTTCCTACGTAAATCTAATTAAAAGTGACATCGATATTTAAATTTTATTTATTATTTATAGACGTATGAAAATTTTCATCCTTACTTTGACATTTCTTTTGACATTCGTGTAAAACTAGGAAATTATTATCGTTTCCACCGCAACCACTGTATCGAAAAACAGAACATTTATCGGATTTCCAGTCATAATAGTATCTTTGAAAGTTTCCTCTACAGTATCCTGCATCCGGATTTTCATAGCAGAAATCAGGACCTTTTTAATTATAGAATCTTTATTAATAAATTATAAAAACTCATTTTATTAAATATTTCATACTTCAAAATAAATTACATTTTAAAGTATTTAACTTAATTATTTAAAATTGTTTTTAAATAATTAAGTATACTTGAAGAAGAATTTAAAAGAAATTTTATGATGCAATATGGAGTAGAAGAGATAAATATCAGAATTATAATGCATTCTGATATTCATTTATACGATAAATCTCCGTAAACATTTATTTATTTTATACTTAACAGTTAGTTCTTATTTGTAAATACATTTTTATTGAATAAATAATATATTTACCTGGAATATCTTCTTCATCTGTTCTGAAATCATCATCAAACCAGCAATTCACTAAAAAACCAAAAGTCTTTAAATTATAATTAATATTAATATAAATATGAAAATCATTAGAAAGTATAAAAATTAAGAATATATATAAGAAAATTTAGAAAAATCACCTTCAGAATGTCTATGCTGAAGAGTTCTTGGATCAATGCAAGAATTTTTTACAGCCATTAACGCTGACTGTAATGCTTTCGAATTTAATGTTTTACTGCGTAAAATAATAACTCCATAAACTGCTGCTGGATGACAACTCTCTGTTTGAGGAATAGTATAAAGACAGGAGTACAAAACTGCTATGTTCTCGTAATCGGTATAAACAACCACCATTTTCTCTAAAGAAAAACTTTTTTTTTCAATTTTTATCTATAAATTCCAAACTAATCATAATCAAATATACATTATTAGAATAATATAGGCCTATATTTTTTGATCATAGGCCCTGCAAATGTAAGACTTTGTCCAATTTATACTATATTAATAAATGAATTTATATTTTAAATTGAAAATCATTCACGTCATGAAGTATAATAAAAATTCAAGACATTTCTATTCTCAACTGAATTTTCTCCCTTTTCCTCTCTTATAAAATCTTTCTTAATAGTGTTTAACATAACAATGTTAAAAATTTTCTGGCAATTGAAAATTTATAAAGGTTTAAGATTTATTCATATGTTAATTTGAAATTCATTATTCGTTTGAAAATTTTTTCCAATATATGATCATTTGTTATGGGCCCATTGGTGGTTAAGTAGATAAAACTACTGGCTGTTCACGTGGGGTCTTTAAAGTTTTTTACAAATAAATAGAAGCCGGTTTACCCATAGATAATCGTCGCGAGAGACACCCTATTTGCAGACCCTCCAAGATTTTTGTGCTGTATTTCACCCACCCAATCCATTTGTTAAGGAAATTTTCTGGATAAAAAGTATAAATTCTGATTTATCATTTGTTATTTATCTGCATAGTGGCAAGTAGAACATAAATACTATAAATCATTCTCAATTTTTGTTTGCATGCGTTGCAAAACGTAACTCTAATATGGCTCGCAAATATCAAAAGTCTGTATTGTAGCATAAGGACCCTCAACCTGGTCGCTAGCCAAGTCAGAGGATTATCCCATTTATTTGGGAGTCTATAAATTAATAGAGGTGATTTTATGGTCAATCTATAAATTAATTTTTATTATATTTAAACATAATAATTATAATTATATTCTGATTTATGTTTAATTTAAAAAAAATATATTATTAGCACCTATTGATTTTTATATATCCTGTTTGCAATTTATTATTATTAAGTATCAAACGGTCGACTGACTTAATTTGATTTTATAAAATGTTGATAATGCTTAGTTCAGAAAATTAACTTCAGAATCGTTTCTTATAGCAGAAGTTTACATAAGGTATCAAAGTTATGAATAGGGACATCCTGATACTGCCGATACCGATATCGTATCGACACTTTCCTTCTATACCGAGTACTTTTTGTACTCGGTACTTTTGGCCCGATACCGGTATCGATACTTTTCTTCGGGTATTGGACTAAGTATCGTTGCATTTTTCACAAACAGGTAAGGTCTGGCCGAAACTAGATTTTGAAGCCGAATTAGAAACCGAAATGGAATTTTACACTATTTTCGGTTAAGCTAAGTTAAACCTATATAAAACATAATGGCCAAAAATCAATAAATGCATTACGTCAAACTTTATTTCCAGAATCTATATATGTATAGAGTTCTAATTACTACTTACATATAAATATTTTGTTAAACATTGAGAATTACTTTCGTTTGTTAATCGACTTGGACCCTCAGTGATGTTTAAAACGAGATATAATTTGTATATACTTGTTCGCACTGACATTTGTAAAATTTGAATACAATGAACTTCAAATGAAAGACACCGTTTTACCTCTTCACTAACGATTTCTTATCCACCCCTATCCTATGTATAGTAGTACACACAGAGCCCATTAGTATAATTGTAGATCTGTAATATTTCTTAATCAGTTTTTAGATAATAATATCCTAATTACCTAATTAATTTATCCAGAAATATAAATATAAACAATCAAACATCGATATAACGTCATCGTTCGTTCGCTCCCGAAATTGGCACTAGTTTAATTTTGCGACAAACCGAAGTATCTTAAACAATAAAGTCTACAGAAGTTTGTAGTTAGAGTTTGAAATTGCTTTGACTGTATTTACTTTATTGTTTAATTTACTTTTAAATGTAATCTATTGTACTTTACTTATTTTTGTATATTTAATGTAATCCCCTTTTTTACATGAAACAATCCTATTAATTCGAATAAATCATTAGCGAGTTAACGATAATTTATACAGGATTATAATAAATACCTGTAGGACTAATCAAAAATCTTGCCAAAACTGTTTATTTCATTTAAAAATTTTTAAATTTAATTCCAGAATGGAAACACTATTCTGACAAAGAAAACAATTACCCATATCGATAAATTAAATACTGTATTATGTGATTTTATTGCTCAGTAACTATCTTAAAAAGCTTATCTTTAAATATTAAACTTTCTATTTATCTGCAAAAAAAGGAAATGGAAATGCTTAATTAAAGTGTCACTTGATATATAAATCATAATTTCAATTGTGACAATGCCGAAGGGCTTCCTCTATGCTTCGGCACCACAGGACCGAAGGGTCGACATTGCGTCGGCGAAGACTGCAATGACAAATTTATCAGGACTGACACCACTGTGTCTTCTCGGTAGACACAGAGACCGGTTACGTTTGCATTTACGCGCGAGCAGTCTGTGGGCGGTTGGACTCGGGATGGAAACCGCTTGAGGAAGTGCAACCAACACAATTCTAATAATAACAAAATTCGTTTATTAAACTGGTTCTACAGAAGAGTATTTACCCTAAAGCTTCTTCGAGTTGGTGAGAGAGAGCTTACATAACATCGCGGGTCGTTATAAATACCTGAAGCACTATGTACGGATTTCCAGATGTCTGTGGAGTCGTTGGGGAGCCTTGGGAATGTCTCTGTTGCCTTGGATGGCGGTTAAAGTCTATCGAAAGTTGAGATTCGTTAGTTCTTCGTAGGTGTTCCCGGAGAAACACTGGATATTCGGGAGGAGCGCGCGGCAACGAGCGACGATGCTAAATCCTTTCGGCTGGCACACAGGGAATATTCTCGCGGACTCTCGACCCCTCTCACTGTTCCTTGAAGTCTCCTCTTTATTTCCAAGTCACGTTGTCGTTTTCCACCAATAGGGAATTTTTAGATGTAGTTCTCAGTGACACATTCTGAGTTCCCTGGGAAAGGAAACGACTCCGGGAAGAGAATTGCACTCATCCTCCGGTAATAAAATGGAAAAGGTTTTTTTTTCTCTGAGATTTAAATAAATTTCCTTTTCAAAACGAAAAACGAATTTTCTTTCGAAAAATTCCCGAATAAAATTTTGGATTTTTTTCGAAGTCCGACCTCTCACACAATATTTGCTAAACTTTACTTTCAATTTCCACAACACCATCTTATCTCACTGAGAATTATTCAAAACTTTACTTTTTATTCAATATAAATTTCATAAATATGTGGACTGAGACAGATCAAAGTTTATAAGTCATATCAATTTGCAAGAAAACACACATACACACATTACGCAGGCACATGCACGCAAACATATACACATACATATATAAATATATAGTTATCTTTAGTTATGTTATTTTAATCCCTATATAAATATTTAGAAACTTGGCTCCCTTCGCCGTTGTAGTATCCATTAACTATCATGGACCACTACAACAGTCCCCCTATTTCCTCTTCAATTGTGCTACGTGGTTTGTGGACGTTACCCGAATAGAGAAAATTAATTTAGTCAAGTATCAATAATAATACTTTTAAAATATTAGTTGATTATTTGATTAACATAATCATTCATTATATTAGTAAATTACCAATATATTAATGTTTTTATTCTTTATAATTTACATTTTTTAAATATCGCCTGAAAAATAAAATAAATAATTCAAAATACATTATTTCTTAATATTCTTAATAGCAACTAATTTGCTAGTACACATACCAACTTTCAAATTTAATTTCAAAGTTGATAAGTAGTAGCAATTGGAGTAGCAACAAATTAGTAGCTATTAAGAGTATTACATAATAAAACAAGACAAAAATCAAATGATAATAATTACATCATTTCTTGTTTAATTGTTACACCATTTCGTTGTTTTTAATTATGTACAGTACATATAATTAAAAACAAAGAATTTTTATGGCTTGGTCATCTTCAAGATGTGAATACATTCCTATTGAACATTTTAGACTTTACGTTTTTACAAACTAATAGAAGATCGCAAAAGAATGGACGACCTAAAATCTAATTATGACAGTATATTTTTGGTGTTATAGACAGTAATAAAATTAAATTCTCTAGCTATTTTCTTAAGCTTGCCCAAAACACGGAGGACTGGAAGGTTTTGTATGCTTATTATTATATATAATTTCTGTTCGTGTGTATTGTTTCTTTATTTGAAAAAAACAAAAACCTTTATAAATAAACAATATTGATGATGATGATTATTTCAATAATGTTGAAAGGTAACAAACACTTTCAACTAACAAACACAGCTTGTTACTTCAAAGTTAACAAACAAGATAAAACTTGTTTTTTTTTTTAAATTATATTATTACTAGCAGGTGGGCCCGGCGTTGCTCGGGCAAAAGTAACGATAACTAAGATAAAGATTATTACGTTACAGTCAACCTTACCCGTTGAATGCAAGAATTGGGTCCCCTTAGAGAATTTTTAGATGGGTCTAAAAATATGTTCGATTCCCGCAAAAACAAAAACGCTGCATCTGCGTATCGCACGTCGCTTTCTCTTAACAATTCCATTGTTATGTAAGATTTCCATTGTTGACACTTCCATTGTTACTTAGCACTTCCATTGTTATCTAACACCGCCATTGTTACTTAACACTTCCATTGTTAATGGAAGTGTTAAGCCTTAATCCTGTCTTTCTCCCCCGGGAGGAATTTCGAAAAATCCCTTCTTAGTGTGCGTTTTCGTGACGTACCCTAACTGTGTACCAAATTTCAGCTTCCAACTCCTAACCGTTTGGGCTCTGCACTTATTATTATTATCATCAACCCGTCTCGATTATATTATAGATTATTTGTAATGAACGAATGGCGATAAACACATTAAATAGATTTATCTTCATTCGTCAGGTTTTCATTATCCCCTGACTTACCCTATTATAAAAAAGAAATTAACCTTTCACAACAGAAGTAAAAGTACTGTAACTTAAATACAACTCTCCATCAAAAACATCGACTTTCCCTCGAAGTGGTCGTATGCAATTGTTGTCTCTGAAAAGAAGGAAAAAATAATTTTAAACAAATTTCATCACTAAACCCGATATACTTTAAAGTTATACATCAACCAAAGCCGAATATTATCGGGTTAAAAACGGCTATAATATTAATATTTTATAAGACAATTTGGTAGTAGAGTTAGGCGTTAGGCACCATCTCTTAATAAATTTAATAATTATAATTTTAATTAAATAAGTTAGAACTACTGGAAGAAAATAATTTGGGGGGGTCTGTTCTGGACTTTATAATTGTAGATCTGTAATATTTCTTAATCAGTNATTATCCCCTGACTTACCCTATTATAAAAAAGAAATTAACCTTTCACAACAGAAGTAAAAGTACTGTAACTTAAATACAACTCTCCATCAAAAACATCGACTTTCCCTCGAAGTGGTCGTATGCAATTGTTGTCTCTGAAAAGAAGGAAAAAATAATTTTAAACAAATTTCATCACTAAACCCGATATACTTTAAAGTTATACATCAACCAAAGCCGAATATTATCGGGTTAAAAACGGCTATAATATTAATATTTTATAAGACAATTTGGTAGTAGAGTTAGGCGTTAGGCACCATCTCTTAATAAATTTAATAATTATAATTTTAATTAAATAAGTTAGAACTACTGGAAGAAAATAATTTGGGGGGGTCTGTTCTGGACTTTCCCATGACTTGTCCACAACACCCCAGGAATTTCTGTCCTATCTCTCATTACCCAGTGGCCTTTTTTCCAGACCATCTTAATGGACACAGGGCGAAAAGAGCGAAAAAAATTATATACAAATTGAAAAAGTATATTAAATTATAATTATTATTTAGCTTAATTTCGTATTAAATAATATTTAAAATTTACAAATTACTATAATATATTAAACCACAATTTTAAGCATCTTTAAATGCTAAAGATTAAAAGAAAATAAATAATTAACCAAAAATTTTAACTTACCCCGCAACAGCAGTATAGTAAAATTTGTAATTTGAATCCGAATCATCAACGAATTTCCACATTGCAGAATGTAAATCCATAGATCGACTGTACGATTTTGCTAATTCGTACCATTCTCCGAGAAACTATAATATTGATTATTTGTTAATTATTATTTTTTAAATAACAAGTTAAATAATACTTTACATTATTATAAATTTAATACCTCTTTACCATTTAAATTTCAACGTAAATGCATATAATTAATAAAAATTGTAATATTTTACTTACCCTTTCCATTTGAAAATTTTGAGTTTTAATTGAATCAATTTTGCAATTAAGAAAATTCAATGCAGACGGATCCAGATCTAAAATAGGAATCAATATTTTAAATTAATTATTAATAAAAAAAATTCAAATAATAAATGAATTTTGTTACATTGTTTTAACTAATAAAACATTGATATCAAATTAAAGATCGTTAAACTAATCGATTTAAATGTTTTGACTTAACTGTTGATTATAATAGAGATAATAGACAGATAGCAGAATTAAATTTATTTATTTTTTCAACGCTTAATATTTAAAATTATTTATAATAATATTTTTGGGCTGCAATTTTCAGATTGCATTCCCATCGTCATCCTTCTGAAGTAACTTTTTTCCCTGCTGACGATATGCCCGCATCACTGTAATCTTTTTTCTTGTATTTTGTAGGCAATGTCAATTACTTTAACAATCTGTCAAATGTACTCATTTTTTGTTTGCATTTTTATGTTAGCTTTCTTTAATGTTACGCTCTCCATAAGTCATGGTTGATTGAACAACAGCCCAGCTTCAACACTTCAGACTTTTCCTCCTATTACATTCACTTTCCTTTCCACATCTCATGCATTATCGAGCCAAGATACCTGAAGTTAGACACTTCCATAATTCTCTCTTCTTGAAGATTTAGATTTTGATGATTTCCTTCTTGTTACAGAATATATATTCTGCCTTTTTCTCGCTAATTTTCAGACCGTTTTCTTTCAGTATTTCATTTCCATTTTCAGTTCCTCTAATTGTTCTTTTTCTTGTCTTGGAACTGAAAACAATGTTGCTTTCATATAATGTGCTCCGCAATGTTTTCCTCTCATATTTTCTGTTGGTAAAACAATTAAAATGCTGAAAAGAAAAAAATTCAGCAACGAGTTGCTTAACTTTCCCGGAAACATTTAAAATTTTGGTGGCATCATCTGTTATCATATTTTATTTTTAAAATATTTATATTTTTAACTATTATAAAATGGGAAAAGCTCAATTTTCACGGTAGGGATGGATTTTATAAGAAATTGTAAATGCTTATAACAAGTAAAATCGTCATTAAGTCCGACCCTATTGAAGATATATACGATTCCTTTTATCTTTCCACCCCCCTCGACCTTTAATCCCCAAAATTAATAGCATCAATCTCCCTAATACACAAATTTCCCTGCAAACTTTCAGAAAATTTCGACAAAAAGCACAGGAATTATTAAGCTTGAAAGAGCCCCCTTCACACACAAACGGAAAAAAACGATTTTTTTTTATTTCTCTATGTTCCAAAGTGTCCTGAGCCCAAAAATGTAAAAAAAACTTGGGGGAGGAGGTCACAACAGTCAGGAAAGTAAAAACTTATAGCAGAATCCAGATAATAGTCCCATCTTCAAGCTGTTTGTTTCCCCAAGAAAACTCTAGAAGACATACCATTGTACAGTACATTACCTAAAATAATTTTACTTACATTGTTATTTCGCATGCTGTACCAGATTGTTGGACATTGCCATAAGCCTTCCCCACATCGATGAAAGTCAGATGTAGAACCTGCAGCTTTTTCTGGACTTTTCAATTATCTATCTTAAACCAAAAGTTGCATCTGTAGTTTATTTCACTGGCATGAAATTAAATTGTTCTTCTTTCAAAGTTATACCTTCTTTATGACTAGTCGAGGATTCTTTCATATTATTTAGAGTTTGTAATTTTTATGTTTGGTTAGTTCTTTTATTTCTTCGCATCACCTTTACCTTTGAAAATTAAAATACCTATACTTCCCACTATCCAATCAATATCTTTCCCTGAAAATACACTTTTTCTATATAAGTATACAGAAGTCTGTCCTTGCTTTTCTCAGACTTTTCTTGCCTGCAATGGGATACCATCTGGTTCGATTGCTTTTCCGTTCTTTATTTTATCGTGATTCCTATAACTTTCGGCGAGTCTCCAGTCAGGCTCAGGCTACGTATAGTTTCCCAGCTTCTGTCTGAACATCATTATTTTGTCTATTAAGCAGCGCTAAGAAATAGTCTTTCCATACAGAATGTATTTCTTCCTTTGTACTGTACCTAATATTTCTTCTATCTGCTTTTATCTGTGTGATTCTCTACTAGCTATGTTTAATTTATTTTATTTATTTTCCATGTAAACTATATTTTTCTACATGTAAAACATAAATCAATCTTCATTTTCTTCTAATTCACACAAGGAAAATAGTAACAATAAGTCTATTATTTTATTAAGTTATAGGTTATATTACACATAATAACAAGACAGTTATAAAAATGCAACATTAAAAATTATTTTATAATTAAGTAGAACTTTCTAAATAATTTAATTGTTTACAAATTTTAAATATGTTTAATAAATAAAAATTAAATGAAAAAAAAAAACAGTCACATTAAAGTCATTTGTGGCCATTATGATAAGTTTGGGTTTGAGGCAATACAAAATTAGTACAACATACTAATTTCAAATACAATATAATGGGTGTGTTTCCTTGGAATCAATAAATAAGCAAGTCAATGGCATAGTTCGCTTCATATGAAACGAACTATGGCTTGCTTATATAGCTGCTTGTCAAAGAATAGCGACCCATATTTCTTTGCAGCGTATCTCTACGCAAATCATTTTTATTGGTAGAACGTACAGTACGTTTGTAAGGTGACTACATTCGAATTTTTCTTAGAACACTCGCGTAATTTTAGTTAATGTCATTGTGTCCGACAAAACCTGTCATTTTTACAAGAACGTTAATAGAAGCGATAACGGTTTTTCTCTTCTTATCTGATAAAACTTAACAGTGCATTTTGCAGTGTACTTCAGTTGATTTTAACTCTGACCACAGCAACGAAGTAATTGATTTCCACGACTATGTAAGTGATTCGAAATTATAATTACAGTAGAGACTCGATTATCCGACCCAATTGGGGACTGGGGTTGGTCGGATAATTGAAAAGTCGGATAACCGAAAAGTATGAAAAAATCCATTATTAGTGTAGTATATTATTATATCCCATGTAATTAGTATATTAGTATATCGCTATTAACCTACTTTGCGTTGAATTTTCATCGATGTTAAGCCTAACAAAAATTTTTTTAAATAATNAATGAATTAAAAAAACAACAAATAAACAAATAAGAGTCCTAAATAACCTTAGGACCTTATTCCATCGAATATATCAAATATAATTTTTTAAATTTTGTATTTAAATGAATGATATACAGTAGTTTTAAACTAGTATACTTTGCATTTTCTCCATCTTTTAATGAGGAGTTTTTTTTTCGAACTATCTATAAACACTGTCACTAATTTTTCTGAAGTAATTTATTGAAATAATATTAAACGAATTTATTTTATATTATTAAATTAAATCTTTTTAAACTGATACAAAATAATCAACTTTAACGAGCTTCAATTATTATCTCTTATATCAGAAGTGTTTCTTTGAGTTAACTGCTTTAGCAGTTTTATATTGTTTTTATTCGGTTTTATCGTTAAAATAATGTTTATAAAATTTCTTTAATTAATTAATTATTGTTGTAATATTTTAATCGACTTTAATGCAGTTTTTATATCTTTCATTTTTTAAATACGGTACAATGATAAAGACAACTTATGTTAATTAACGTTAATATTCCATGTAAATCTTTTATTGCTATAAATACTAATATAGACTAGTATATACAAATTTAAAGATTTTTGTTACGTAAGAAGGATATAGTACAGTTAAATAAACACTAGGCTCTGTTTATTTGACTAGGCACTAACTCTGTTTATTTGGTCTTATTAGTTGACACGCGTTTTTTACACGTTTCGGGCCTTACAACGCCCCTGTTCAGTCAACTAATTTTAAATGTACATAACATCAAACCATTTAAATAGTACATATAATTTACAAACATACCTTCTATTTCATATTTTACATTAGACGAATTTAAGTTCTCATCTGTTGATTGCCTTTCCGAAACTATTTTAAATAATGCTTTTACAGGTGTGTTGTAACATATGCATACACCTACTTTATGATGTTATGTTAACACACCTGTAAAAATATTAATTAAAATAATGTCGGAAAAGCAATCAACAGATGAGAACTTAAATTCGTCTAATGTAAAATATGAAATAGAAGGTATGTTTGTAAATTATATGTACTATTTAAATGGTTTGATGTTATGTACATTTAAAATTAGTTGACTGAACAGGGGCGTTGTAAGGCCCGAAACGTGTAAAAAACGCGTGTCAACTAATAAGACCAAATAAACAGAGTTAGTGCCTAGTCAAATAAACAGAGCCTAGTGTTTATTTAACTGTACTATATCCTTCTTACGTAACAAAAATCTTTAAATTTGTATATACTAGTCTATATTAGTATTTATAGCAATAAAAGATTTACATGGAATATTAACGTTAATTAACATAAGTTGTCTTTATCATTGTACTGTATTTAAAAAATGAAAGATATAAAAACTGCATTAAAGTCGATTAAAATATTACAACAATAATTAATTAATTAAAGAAATTTTATAAACATTATTTTAACGATAAAACCGAATAAAAACAATATAAAACTGCTAAAGCAGTTAACTCAAAGAAACACTTCTGATATAAGAGATAATAATTGAAGCTCGTTAAAGTTGATTATTTTGTATCAGTTTAAAAAGATTTAATTTAATAATATAAAATAAATTCGTTTAATATTATTTCAATAAATTACTTCAGAAAAATTAGTGACAGTGTTTATAGATAGTTCGAAAAAAAAACTCCTCATTAAAAGATGGAGAAAATGCAAAGTATACTAGTTTAAAACTACTGTATATCATTCATTTAAATACAAAATTTAAAAAATTATATTTGATATATTCGATGGAATAAGGTCCTAAGGTTATTTAGGACTCTTATTTGTTTATTTGTTGTTTTTTTAATTCATTGAATGAGTTTCATACAATTGAATTAGTAAGGCTAAGACAGATAGGGACTAAAAATCGTATAAATAGACAAGTGAAATGGGTATTTAAAACTTTAAAACAGGCAAATTAGGCTTTTAAAACAGGTTATATATTGACCTATAGTGTAAACATTCGTAAGTTGTTTTACATATTCCTGCGTCGTTATCTATTTTGCATTATGTATGGTGTATTAATGCTATTAAATTTGAGAGATAGAGTCATGTGTCATATGTCGAGTGAGGTCTTGTTATTATTTAAATTTTATATCGTAATTTAATTGAAAATTATCTTTCTGGACCCCTTAACGTCCTATTTGACTACCACGAAAGTTGAGCAAAAATTTGCCAGATTTAGGAGGTAAGCCGGAATGCCAGTGAGGAGCACAGCTACGATAAGAGCAAAATTGGGGATATTTTTTTGCTTTTAAATACATTAAATAGCAACACATATGAAACAGGGCTAATCTACGTTAAATAAGCTTAAAAATGATATATAAAACGTAAATATGGTATATGTAGACACAAGTAAATAGCTAAAAGTATATATAAAGAATGAAAATTGAGCATAAGTAAGTAATTAAATTCACTTTAATAATAATAATAATAATAATATTCACATGTGAATGCTGAATATTTAAAAACCTTTAAAATCTTACTAAAACTGTTTTTAATGTTACTATTAATTTGAATTGCAGATTGAAGATTTACTATTTAAATTACCAATATTTTTAAATATACAATGTAATTATACAGCTGAATTAAAATTTACTTTATCAAATTTTTAATGTCAATATTTAAATTCTTATCTAAAATTACCATTAAGACTTATATTTATTTAAAAATATATGTATATAAATTAATAATAGATGAATTAATTTTAGTATTTTCAATAAGGGGGCGCTTATATATAAGCAAAATCATTTTTTCTTGACCTTGAAAGTTCAACGAACAGATAACCACAATCCAGGAAGTTTACTAAACATTTATAACAGGTGAGTTTAAAAAATATATATATTATAGTAAATTCTCATAAAATACGCTATTAATTAATATAATAGGCCAGAAGTTGTTTAACACTATAANATTTTATTACAGTATATATTTATTATTAATTATTATATACTGTAATAAAATAATATAATATAATAATATAATTAAAATTACGTTAATAAGTTTGTAAATAATAACAAATTATTACTGTTAAATATAATAAAAAGCCACACAACAATAACCTTTTGTAATTATATTTTAAAGAAATATTTTCATAAAAGTTTAGATTTTAGATAAAAAAATTGAATTTTATGTTTTACTTTATTATTACATTTAACAGTTTAGAAATTTAAGAAAATAATTTAAATTTATTTATGTGTGAAGTGTGAGGCTGTATGAATGAAATGAATAATAAAGCGTTTGGATGTTGCCAAGCATAAATATTCATTGGTTTAAGTAATAATTTATTTAAATATTTAACAAATATAACTTTATTCTAGTGCTATTTTTCCAGTTTTATAATTCAAATCAATTTTTCTGTATTTATTAAATTAAAATTTATATTAAAATAATTTATATTTCTGTATTTTGTAAGTTTTATTATTTATATCTTATAATATTGTTTTCTTTGTTGTCATTATGGTATAAATTATAATAAATACATAAATAAAAATGGTATAAATACAGTACAATTCCCTCACCACGAGTCGCATGTCGTGTTTGTACGATGTGTCGTGTCGCATGGTTTATGGAACGGTACATCATAATTGGGTTACGTTTGTAAATGAATTTAAAATGTGTAAAAAAGTAAAATCTACGTATTATTAGTTTAAATAATTAAATAAAATACGTATTTAATTTGTTAGATAACATTTATTGACTAATATACCTAGGAACGTCACGATACTGCCGATACCGATACTGTATCGATGCTTTTCCTCCTGTATAGGACAGGTAAGGTCCGGGCGAAACGAATTTTGCAACCGAATCAGAAACCAAAATCGAATTTTGCACTATTTTCGGTTAAGTTAACCTTATATAAAAGTATATATTAATGACAAAAAATCGGTAAATGTATTAGGTCAATTGTGTAAATAAATATAAAATTACAACGTTTAACAATTAAATGTAATACCGGCGGCCATGTTTTATATTTACTATTTTTTTACTTAGAATGTATTACGTCAAATTGCATTTCCAGAATCTGTATGTGCTTAGAGTTCTGATTACTATTTATAAATAAATATTTAGTAAAAAATTACGCAGCACTTTTGTTTGTTAATCGACTTGGACCCTCAGTGATGTTTGAAATGAGCTACAATTTGTATTTACTTGATATTTGTAAAATTTCAACACAATAAAGAACTTTCAATGTAAAGACTGTTATACCACTAGACCGGCGATTATCCATCCGTATCCCGTGTATAGTAGTACTCACAGAATCCATTAGCAAGACTGTAGGACTGGGGCTTCTTTCGTGTACGTAAGACATCCCTAATTATTCCTGACGTTGACCTAGTACTTGGAATAAACTAATTTTATTGTTTCATAGCTTTTTAAACTTGTTACTGTACTTAAAAATTTTAATTTATATTTTAATTATATTTGGTTCTGAGCTGTCGAAATAAGCAAAGTTTTTTAATCGTTGTCAATAAAAATGAAGCTGTGCCTCTGTAGTGTCATGTGCTAACATGATACTACAGAGAGATCCTGAAGATAAGGAAGATATTATCACAGGCTTCAATACTTCATTGATATAATGCTGATTGGTCAAAGTACTGGTAATGCATATGATGTGCAAACGGGAATGAATTCCAATGGCATCTCATGACAACATCTGGTGCCATATCAGTATGGCACTGCGTTATGCATGCCTTATCAAGCTAGTCGTTGTGATAAGGATTCATCAGATAAGGATTAACCCATCATGAAGATGTTCAGATTTACAGAAGCGGAATTTATCTGAAAAATGATGCAATTCCATTCGCTCATCCATATGCGACATTCCTGGTACCGTTGCAGTTGTAAACGTCTGTATTGTAGAGTTAACAGCAAACTGACGTAACGGGAGCGAAGAAGGGATGTTCCAATACTGCAAACGACTTCTAACGATGGGCACTGGTTAATATGAAAAATTTTATAACTATTAAGCTAAGATGTTTGAAGTGGCTGTTCAATCACAGAGCCAATATGTCTGCTTTAATGGTTGCTCCTCAACCCACTGACACCATTTTCTCATCACTACACTATGTCTGCATTCTGTCTAATACAAACATTAATTCCTCAGAAGGATTATCTACCTTCCTGTAATCTCGGTTAAAGTCAGAAACTTTGTCTTATGGTTGCCACGCTCTTTGACAAAACATACTTGATTCTTTAAGTAAGCAAGAACTGCGAGCAAACACAACGCAATGTCTTTGTGATCTCCTTTTACAGTATTTCCGGAAAGCGTTACTAGCACACGTGATTTGTACTTTGTGCTGTGGTTTTAATCGTTTGCATGTTCTTTCATATTCTGACAAACTTCCAAGATTGAAGCCTATCTAAAACGTCCTTCTTGCAGTTTTTAAAGGCCACCACAGTAGTACAGTATTTAATTCTATGAATAGTGACAATACTAAGTAAAATGAAAATACGTATTACTGGTTTTGTGGGTAAATTAAACGCATATATTTATGTAAAAAAGTTTATACAGTAATTGATTGTAATACAGTTAGGCCTATATCAATTCCTATTTCAAAGCTTTTCAAATACTCTGTAGAAATAAGAACTAGTAATGAATGCCATTATTGTTTGAAACTTTTTATGTTGAACTATTCCTCAATTTATCATTATTGCCAGAGAAATAATTTCGGATTAAAATATTTATTCATTTCAACCTATTTTTACTGTTTCTTCTATTACAAAGTTAAATTTCTACTCTTAGATCGAATATGTAATTACATAATGTAACAGATGATCGGATTTATAATAATATCTATCTAAATATACAGATCTAATTCTGTTTTTTACACGGATTTTTGTTTACACTGTTTTGATTTAACACGGTAGTGTAAAAGCTCAGTTTTCTTTTTACACGATTTATTTTGATCTAACAGATTTTAATAAACTTGCTTTTTTAAAAATCTCCAATTGATTTTAATTCTACGAAAAAATTCTTCTAGAATTCAAGAAATTCAAGAAAAAATTTAATTTCAACTTTGACAATTTGTTTGTATAATGACGTTTCTTTCAATTTCTTTTAATACGCAATAGTTCTATTATGGAATCCAAACCAAAGTTAAAAAAAATTTTTATCTATATTTTATCTGTTTTTAATAATAAAAAAAAATATATAAAATTTTTAGCTGTTAACTTAATATTATATAATATTGTACCCAAGTGAAGGGAAACGAATTTATACGTCCGAAATGCACATTAGAGTCAATAAAAATTAAATGAAAAAAAAAAACAGTCACATTAAAGTCATTTGTGGCCATTATGATAAGTTTGGGTTTGAGGCATATTAATAGTCAATACAAAATTAGTACAATATACTAATTTCAAATACAATATAATGGGTGTGTTTCCTTGGAATCAATAAATAAGCAAGTCAATGGCATAGTTCGCTTCATATGAAACGAACTATGGCTTGCTTATATAGCTGCTTGTCAAAGAATAGCGACCCATATTTCTTTGCAGCGTATCTCTACGCAAATCATTTTTATTGGTAGAACGTACAGTACGTTTGTAAGGTGACTACATTCGAATTTTTCTTAGAACACTCGCGTAATTTTAGTTAATGTCATTGTGTCCGACAAAACCTGTCATTTTTACAAGAACGTTAATAGAAGCGATAACGGTTTTTCTCTTCTTATCTGATAAAACTTAACAGTGCATTTTGCAGTGTACTTCAGTTGATTTTAACTCTGACCACAGCAACGAAGTAATTGATTTCCACGACTATGTAAGTGATTCGAAATTATAATTACAGTAGAGACTCGATTATCCGACCCAATTGGGGACTGGGGTTGGTCGGATAATTGAAAAGTCGGATAACCGAAAAGTATGAAAAAATCCATTATTAGTGTAGTATATTATTATATCCCATGTAATTAGTATATTAGTATATCGCTATTAACCTACTTTGCGTTGAATTTTCATCGATGTTAAGCCTAACAAAAATTTTTTTTTAAATAATAATCGTTGCTACTGTATCGTTAAAAATTAAAAATTAAGCCTCGTTTAAATACTGGCTCCCTTTCATGGTCGAATGAGTGTTGCCAGCTAAAACACGTAAAAATAATATTAAAGTAGCCAAGACATAGCCAAATATTGTAGCGCCACATCACTAGAGGACATTTGAAATTTGCCGATTAGGACGGTCGGTTAACCGAGGTGTCGGTTAATCGGGGGTCGGATAATCGAGTCTCTACTGTATATCTTAAATATGACATAGATAACATTATCCAGTGGATATTCTTCATCATAGGTTAAACATGGGTTAATTTAAACTAATGCGTGTTATTTCTTCTCCCATCGTTTCCGGGAATTATGTGACAAAGGTTGTATTGTAATAATCGTTTCAAATTAGTATATTAATATGTTTCTCATCTATAATGACATTCAATTACAAGCATTATACTACATGTGTTACGAAAACAACAGTTTTCTTATTATTACATTAATAGAATTAACGAAATAATTACGGATATATAGAATGTATTACATTAAATTTTAAAAGTATTTTAAATTAAATAATTACTCCAAAACATAAATTTTATGTGCCCACCAGTGGCCGAGTGGTCTTCGTACCCTAAACACTGGGAGTTCGGTCGTGGGTTCGCGCCGCGATCGGACAGGCTGGCTGCTTGGAGTTTTCCGGGTTTTCTCCTTGCCAATAACGACTAAATAGGAGGCCAGTTCCCCATAAAAGTCCTCCCGGAAGGCATTAGTTCCCCTCGCGTAACATCGCGCCCCAGAGAAGGCAACGGGAAACCACTCTGGGTAGTAACTTTCACCTTGGCGGATTACAAACCTACGCCAGGTGTCGCCGACGTCAGGAATCTGATATGGCACCAAGAAGAGAGAGATAAATTTTATAAAAAGTAATACAATTTTCTATTCCCTTGAAAGAAAAATATTCAAACTGCAACATATTTCTCTTAAAATCGCGGTTTTGAAGAAATTTTCTACTGACACTTCATATACCTCATATTAGTTACACCTGAATCAATTTCCGCTTGAAAACAATTGGATGAAGATAAAAGAGTGACAATAGTAACTCTTTGAATAGTTCAAGGGTAGAATTTAACAGATAAAACTTAAATGAGATCAATAAGTGTCTTTTTAAACATTTATAAGTAATTTAAAGCTTAATGCCACATGCTAAGAGGAAACAATTTAGAACCTCACATTTTAAAATTTCTTATTTGGTGGAGGTATTTTTCACCAAACATTCTAGCTTAGGACCACAAAAAAAAAACCTGGTTACACACATATAGTATATTGTTATTTTAAATCATTAAAAGTAATAACAAGAAATACAATATATTCCATACCGACTTATAAGCCGTTTAATTAATAAACACGATTAGATACTCAATAGGAAATTGAATTATTATAATAAAGTTATGATAGTTACACTATTGAATTGTGTAATTGCTATTGGTTTATTATACAGTATATTATGTTACGCGCCGTCGGTTTATTATATATTATTGATATATCTACACTTTCTCGTACTTCTTTTGTCACTTAATATTTGGGAATTTAAAATTTAATATCTTTTCAAAAAGTATTAGTTTCTAATATATTATATTGAAATTGCAATTTTCCCATTTTTATAATATTTGTAACTTTAGAGTCAATCTTTACATAAATAATATCGCAATTATAATATGTAAATGGATCCAAAGACATATATACTTAGCAGAGTTCGTCTCTGGTAACTAAAATAGCTGGTTTAAATAACATATCATTTTTCGATTTTTAAATAAGTGATTTTTTTCTAATTTTTTTGTTAAAAATAAATGTGCAGAGTGCAAAAAAATTATTTTAAGACTTGATTCGATACTCAAACGGCTACACATTGTATATTACAAGTGTGGAAAGTATTAAAATAGTTAAGAAATTAAATGTGAAATAAAATAGGCAACTCATTGTATGTTTAAGTGTGCATCTTATGTCTACATCTGACCTCTCATCCGTTACTTCGGGAGAGATGACTAAAATGAATATACGAATAAAGTTTAAAGTTTTTGCCATTTTGTTACATTGAGTTTATATTTAAGTATATTCGATTTTATTAATCTTAAAGGAAAATAATTGGTTGCTCATACGTTTTATATTTATTCCTCATATAAACCACAAGAAACATTCATGCAGCGAAACAAAACTTTAGGCATCTCATCTTAAAATATCCTATTCTAGAATGATTTTGAATATTAAAGCGTTTTGTATGGAGTTAAATCTATTAAGAATATTTAAAACTATTTACTGTAGAACAAATTCTCAAATTAAATTTTAATTATTAACTGTGGTGGAGGGTAGTTGACTTTGGATATACTGTATAATGGAACTAGCTTCATCTTGTATTTTTTCTGTATGGATATTATTCCCCCTCCTGGCATTAATTCCAGGAAATACTATAATTCAGATGAACTATAATCATATTTCTAACATCAGAGTGTAATACATATGAACAAAATACTATAAAAATTTTAAAAAAATGTAAATATCAATCGATTAAATATTATTTTATTTCTTTAAAGACTCATTTTGTGTTTAAATAATTTATTATATCATATTGTATATTATATTAAATCTATATCAATAAATTTATTGCAGATAGCTGAAATTTTGCATACATAAAGCCAAAATGGAAAACATACGTTTATTTATTTCGGTGATCTTTATTTTATTTTTTACACGTTCAATTTCCCAACAATTGAATATTACAGGTAACAGTTATAAATTTATTGTTTTGTCATAAAATCAGTTATTATGTCTATAATTTTCTATTATTTTCAGCATTATATAAATATTTCTAAAATATTAATATTATTTACTTTTTATATAAATGAACAATGACTAATTTTCCTATAAACAATGACTCAAAAATCAGTTAACCGTATGATATTTTGGTGGATCTGACGTTTTTACACATTGCTCCTCCAATAAAAGGCTGACGTTTAATATCGCTTTTAATTTGTGAATTTTTATCTGTTATTATTTGTCATTTTAATGAAATTTTTCTTCAAACCAATTTAATAAATACGTTATAAATGAAAAAAAAATATACAGAATTTTTAAAAAGTTAATATCCTAATAGAGCTGTATACATTTAATAATTATATAAATTATACTGTATATTGAAATTTTATATAGAGTTTAAAAATTTATGTTTAATTTTCTCTAAAATAATAGGTTACATTGCTAAATTATTTATTTATTTTTTCACATTCTTTAATAGATAATGTAGGAAACAATAAGAAGATAGTTTGTTACTACAGATATCAAGGAAATGAATCTCATCGATTGACTCCAGATCAAATAGATGTAAATTTATGTACTCACATTATAATAGGATTCGCTGGAGTACATAAATCACAAGTGTCCTATGATATCAAAAATATTCCAGGATATCGTTGGACAGTTTCATTAAAAGATAAAAATCCTAATTTAAAAATCATGCTGTCTTTAGGAGGCGGGGGAAACGAAGGAGGATTTACTGAGGCTGTTTCTTCAAAAGAAAATCGGGAAAAGTAAATATGACAAAGTTTTCCAATTATAAAATGTATTTATAATAATTGTAAATTTATTTTACAATTACAATTAATAATAGTTATTAATTAATACTTTTTACATTTAATTTTATATAAGGTATATATTTAATAAGTAATGTAACGATTATATTAATATAACAGAACAGTTATTTTTTTATTTATATATTTTTCTCTCCTTTTAGATTTATTGAATCAATGATTAAACTTTGCCGAGATGTTAAATTAGATGGAATCGATCTTGATTGGGAATTTCCTGTTTGGAGGCACTCCTTAGGTCGACAAAATCTTGCAGACAAAAAAAACTTGATATTGCTTCTGAAGGTTTAATTTTTCATTCTGTTTATTATAATATTGTATAGTCAAACTATAATTTAGCACCAGTATTTATTCGTAAGCCAGTGGAATTGCAATTAAAATGAGTGAGAAGCTAAGCTAATGTACAGAATTTCAAATTATATTATATCGTAATGAGTTCACACCAGTTTGAATTTTATAGTTTGACAGACGTGTTGTTTAGTGACGACAAGGTTATTTAAGATGCAAAATTATAACTTGAATTCGTTAATTCACAGTTACTGAAGGATTTTCTATTTAATATTTATGGTTAAGATCTATTCGCAAGTCTTTCATTGAAACTTTACACGAGTGGTATTATTTAGGAGGGTTTTACATTGAAATTTAACTGTACGTTTGCTTTAATTTCGCTTAAATTAATTAAATTTTCATATTTAATTATAAATTTAATTATTGAAGATTTTAGAGATTTTAATCTGCTTATTCATATTTTAAATAGGAATTTAAACTTGCATCAGAAAAAGAATTTTCAGAAAATCCTCTTTTGATGTCGGTGGCTGTTGCAGGGCCGAAAAGTATCGTAACTGTGGCGTATGATATTTCAATGATGTCCAAGTAAGAGAAATTAAATTTATAAGTTTTTAAAATATTTTTATCATAATTTTTATGTGATTTTAAATATATTTAATTGTTTTTGTTATTATTTTATCTTTAAAATTTTTTCGTAATTTATCCAGAAATTAAATTTGTGTTAGGGAACGTGCTTCTTATCTCGTTACCTGTGACCTTTTCTGTTAAATCTAATATTTGCTTTAATGTTTACGAAGATGGTAAATATTGATTTGCGTACAATCAAATAAAAATCATGTAGATTATTACTTTCAAACTTTTATTAAAAGTTCTTCATGAGAATTTCAGTTTAACCAATATAGCTATAAAAGTAGCTGCTACATTTAATTATAAACTAGAATAAAAAATTATTCAATTTGCAGATACGCCGATTTCATTAATTTGATGAGTTACGATTACAATGATTATAATTGGTATACTCCTTACGTTGCTCACAATTCTCCATTATTTAACAGTAGACGTGAAATAGGTTACTTTGCAACCTTAAACACAGTAAGTACACGTATATTATTTTATTCCTTTAGAGTAAATCGATAGGAATATATAAATTTATATGTGATAAATTAATTGAATTTAAATACATGTTGCTTGAAAGTTACTATACGAATTAAATATCAAATCTGTGTTGTAAATTTTATATAATTATATAAAATAATTGTTTTCTTTGAAAAGTTTAGTATTTACAAAAGAACTATTTTATTTTCATATACTAGAGTACGGGATTTTCATCCTAAAAGAGAATAGCGCTATATGTTTTTCAAATTGCCGAAACCAATAAAAATATGCGGGTCAGGAACGTTAGATTATCCTGTAAAATAATTGATTCGATGTAAGTCCGGAAGAATGATAATTCATTCACTTATAATCAATATTTTGCCATATGATTTGCCATATGCCATACTGCAATCGGACAAACAAGTAAAAAAAAAAATCTAACGCGATTGTTTGTCTAAATACAGAACCGACTGTCAAAGTAGTATTGTAATCTATATGTTAGGATCCTGTTTTAAATTCGATCGAGAATCTGTGTCTAACCCGTGTCCATTAATTAAAGACTGGTAGACACCGATATTTATTATCGAATTCTATTGGACTAACATATTGGATTCTGTACAGCCTATACTTTCCAACATCGTATACAACATTTCGAAAAGAGTGTGGTGTGTGGAATGCCGATTTTTCGTAGCACATGATTTTATTATGTTCATCATGTTCTCTCTAAACTAGTGGATCTCTGTCTGTTTTTAGCTCTCGCCAAAAGTCTTTATAACTTTTCTTCCAAATTTTACTACTATATTAATAATATAAACTGCCCAATAAAGAACCAGTATGCGTCGAAACTGTAGTTTATATTTTATACCTTATGTTAAAGTATTGCTGTATGTAGACATTTTAAAGCAGCATCTTTGTTTAAAAAAAATTAAAATACAGTAATACCCCGAACTTACGCGATAGGTGGGACCGAGCGATAACCGCGTAAGTCGAATTCGCGTAAGTCGGGGTATAATTTCGCATATAAATACATACAAATAATTTTTAATTGGGGCCGGAGACTAAAGAAAACAATAATTTAGAAAAAAATGTTTAATAAAATCTTAGATAATACATATGTATAACAAATTAGGCCTATATTATTTTACAATTTTTCACATTTACTTGATTATTACGCCATAATTTTAACATTGTTTCC